CCCCAAAACCCCAAAACCCCAAAACCCCAAAACCCCTAAACATTTTGTTGATATTGAACAGCTGATTCCTCACATATTATCTAAAAATTTACTCGAGCTTATCTCTCATCATCTGTCGCATCACAAGCTTGCATGCCTGTCCTTGGCTAGGTGGCTTGTACCAGAACCGAGAGATAAGGCCTCTGAAGTAGCTTTTTTGAGTCCTAGCTTTGTTGGGGGAATACTCCATTTCTCCAACATAATTTGCCTCAAGGAGCCCTTCCTTCTCTATTTCTTCGATGATGGAATCATTTGTGGTCCTGTATTTCCGGATTTTAGGAATTTCATTTTCTGTGCCTCCATCAGTTGCGACTAGGATTTCTGATGCAAAGATTTTAGCAAAAGATATCTTTTCAGAATTAGGCCTAGCATCAGGAGAATGTACATTTGCACCAGACCTTTCCTCGATGCGTTCAAATTGGAATTTAGCCTTCTGTCGATATCAAAATAATTTAGATGCATGGGTGATGAATAGCAGGAATACAAAAATCAGGAAGAAGCCTCCAAAGGAGTAAACCAGGACTGCGAGAGCCACAAAGATTTTGTTAAATGAATTTTTCTGCATGACAGTCCACGGATGGTCATTGAAGTCATTTTTAAAGTTAAGTGAGAGGATCACAAACAGCTCAACTAGCAGTCCCATCAAAAAAAGGAGAAAGAGGACAAACGGAAGATGGTTCCTATATCCTATTCAGTTATTCAGATATGGGCAGTGGTGGTCGAACTTCTCCACTCAGTGATTTCATAAGCCACAGTGTCGAGAATTAGGAGTCCTGATGACATTTCAGTCAGGTCAGAGATACACTGGATCTATCTTGTTAAGTAAGCTCTGGAACTCATACTTCGACTTCAGGAACCCTGGGTCTAGGATCGACGCTGCAGCAAAGTTTAGCATGACCAAACAGTGGAGGACTATGAAGAAAATAGTGTGAAACTCTGAATCTAGCATTGGTAGGGCAAACACTCCTGCAATAATGGCCTCGATCAGGATAAGTACCAAAAAAGTTATTAGAGTTTTGTAGTTCTTCTCAAGTTTTTGTAAAGGCATCCTGATGAGCATTCAACTGCAGTATCGTGGCTTATTTTAAAATCCTATATTTTAGAACAAATAAGGCTACTTTATAAGATCCTGGGTGATCTCTGAGTTGGTTATTAGGTCAATCGGCTTCTGGTTGTCGTTATTAATAGTATCTCGCGAGGCTCCTCGAAGCAACAAAATTTTGGTTAATCGAGTATTCAGCTCATTCTCAGCATGGTGAACGCTCAGATGTAAGGGGGTGTTGCCAAAATTATCAGGACGGTTTATCTCAGATCCCCATGAGAGGAGATATGTTGCTGAGATCTCGTTGCCATCTACTACAGACCAGTGAAGAGGTGTTAGCCCATTCCCATCTGTTTTGTCAATATCCATTCCATAATTATTGATAAAATAATAGATTACATTGACAGCGTCGCCTTCAGCTGCAGAATGGAGGACAGTCAGGCCCTCGTCCGTAATGAGGAAGGGATCAGCTCCATTGGCACATAAAAGTTTGACTAATTTGAGGTTTCCCTTGAAAGAAGCCAGGTGTAGTGGAGCAGATCCGAAATCGTCTTTGCGGTTAACATACTCATTAAGGATCTCACTTCTAGACTGATTACCCCAGATGTGGTCTTTCCTGAGATACTCTGTTAAGGTATCTTCCTGCTTGTCAATGCCTTCGATAACGAGTTCAATGATGTTCTTGCACATTTCGAGATGCTCAAGTTCACAGGCGATCATGAGTAGAGATTTATTTTAAGTGAAAATAAGTCTCAAATGTCGAATAGACTTCTTCATCATGAAGGTTCCTAGGGCCATTGCCTTGATTACAACTCGTGTTGCTCCTGGACGGGGTTATGCCAAGGTCATGCTCCAGGCTAAAGCTGCTGTCCCTACTGAGGACTCTATTTTTGAACGTGTGCTTTTTGACTGAATTGACTGAGCTAATGATTGATTCTAAGTTTGAGTCGTTTGAGGAGCTCTGATCCATTTTGAGCAAAGGCTTTTGGGATATATTATTATTACAAAAGTAGAATTTTCTTAGGGGTTTTGGGGTTTTGGGGTTTTGGGGTTTTGGGG